AACATTTGTAAAGAAGCATTTATTGTAGTAAGTGAACTCCTGGAATGTTTAATCTGAAGTCAGTCTGCGGTGTGAACGCTGAATCTGGTTTCACATCACATGACGCGTGAAGACCAGACGTCTGACTTTAACCATTGTAATGTGGACGGCATGATACTGTACCTATACATAGATTCTCTTGAATATTTTGGCAACCCATAGATTTTGACGATCATTAAAGTATGAATAAAGAATGAATACGTTCTTGTGCCTCTTTATTTCTCAACAAATCAAATTTCAATTCTCTGTGTGTATGTGCTGTACATGTGGAAGAATTGACAATAAAGCAGACTTGACTTGACTTGACTTGACTATTGTCCAGCCCTAGTCTAACATAGTTTATTCATTTTTATTTCAGTGTTAATTATTTTGGGACATCAAGTTAAACTACATAAAAAAAGAGAAATGTTGTCTGTTCACGGTGTGTGTGTGCACTTTGATGGGTTAAATGCAGAGCACAAATTCAGAGTATGGAACACCATACTTGGCTACATGTCCCTTTCAATTTCATAAGTTAGAGGTTTTTTGTATATTTTGTTTCAGTTAACATTTATTTCAAGTAGCATTTTTTTATGGATTAGTTTTAGTCAACTATAATAACCCTGCTGTGAACTCTTTCTCTGTGTTAAAACTACTGATCAAACTTGCACTGCCCACAGACAGACTAATGGGCGGGGCCAAAATCAAAAGTGCATTATGGGTAGTGTGGTTTTGGTAAAGTTTGTGGGATCGCCACGCCACAGCCCTTTCTCAGTTTTTTTTTCTCATCATGTTGCACCTATTTAAAAAAATATATATATTATTGAAAGCCAGCAGTGAATCACTTCATTCAGTCATGAATCTGTTTGGTTCTACGGTTTGTGTTGTTCTGTCAGTGAAGTGAAGTTTGTGGTTTCTGCAGGTTCAGATTGATCCGTCGGGTCTGTTTGTGGCCTCCAGCTGCTCTGATAAGAACATCAATCTGATCGACTTCCAGACCGGAGAGAGTCTGGCCACTGTGTTTGGACACTCGGGTAACATGGTGCTTCTTCTGTCTTCCTCAGTGTGTGATGATGATGATGATGATGATGGTGGTGATTGTGACTGTGAGTGATGGTGGTGATTGTGACTGTGATGATGGTAGTGATTGTGACTGTGATGATGGTGGTGATTGTGACTGTGATGATGGTGGTGATTGTGACTGTGATGATGGTGGTGATTGTGACTGTGATGATGGTGGTGATTGTGACTGTGATGATGGTGGTGATTGTGACTGTGATGATGGTGGTGATTGTGACTGTGATGATGGTGGTGATTGTGACTGTGATGATGGTGGTGATTGTGACTGTGATGATGGTGGTGATTGTGACTGTGATGATGGTGGTGATTGTGACTGTGATGATGGTGGTGATTGTGACTGTGATGATGGTGGTGATTGTGACTGTGATGATGGTGGTGATTGTGACTGTGATGATGGTGGTGATTGTGACTGTGATGATGGTGGTGATTGTGACTGTGATGATGGTGGTGATTGTGACTGTGATGATGGTGGTGATTGTGACTGTGATGATGGTGGTGATTGTGACTGTGATGATGGTGGTGATTGTGACTGTGATGATGGTGGTGATTGTGACTGTGATGATGGTGGTGATTGTGACTGTGATGATGGTGGTGATTGTGACTGTGATGATGGTGGTGATTGTGACTGTGATGATGGTGGTGATTGTGACTGTGATGATGGTGGTGATTGTGACTGTGATGATGGTGGTGATTGTGACTGTGATGATGGTGGTGATTGTGACTGTGATGATGGTGGTGATTGTGACTGTGATGATGGTGGTGATTGTGACTGTGATGATGGTGGTGATTGTGACTGTGATGATGGTGGTGATTGTGACTGTGATGATGGTAGTGATTGTGGCTAATGATGGTGGTGATTGTGGCTAATGATGGTAATTGTGACTGTGATGATGGTGGTGATTGTGATTGTGACTGTGATGATGGTGGTGATTGTGACTGTGATGATGGTGGTGATTGTGACTGTGATGATGGTAGTGATTGTGGCTAATGATGGTGGTGATTGTGGCTAATGATGGTAATTGTGACTGTGATGATGGTGGTGATTGTGATTGTGACTGTGATGATGGTGGTGATTGTGACTGTGATGATGGTGGTGATTGTGACTGTGATGATGGTAGTGATTGTGACAGTGATGGTGGTGATTGTGACTAATGGTGGTCATTGTGGCTGATGATGGTATTTGTGACTGTGATGGTGGTGATTGAATGATGATGATGATGGTAATTGTGACTGTGATGGTGGTGATTGTGACTGTGATGGTGGTGATTGTGACTGATGGTGGTCATTGTGGCTGATGATGGTAATTGTGACTGTGATGATGGTAGTGATTGTGACAGTGATGGTGGTGATTGTGACTGATGGTGGTCATTGTGGCTGATGATGGTAATTGTGACTGTGATGGTGGTGATTGTGAATGA